TGGTAGAATTAAGTTTTTCAATTTTTCTCAAAACAATGTCGGATAGGTGTAAAATAATTGAAGTGTAAGTAAGTTCTTCATATTCTTCTTTTTGTGCTTCTGTGAAATCTACGGGAAATTTGTCATCTATGGCCTTTGAAACTTTTTGTTGAACCAAAATCTCATTCATCTTTTGTTGTCAAATTGAGAAGTCTCATTTCCCATTGAAAATTCCAATTTCGAAATGTGAAGATATTCTGAAAACAGAACAACCAAAATACACAAATAGGTCACACAAAGTAATCTTAAGGCAACAATATATACCGTTCTAGATTCCCAGGGTTTCGTAAGATTCACGATCTTAGATCAAGGGAATGTTCAAATGGGTCAAGACCAGGTGTTCTAACGCAATAGCCAATGCAACACGAAACCAACACTTCAAATAGAGCAATTAATTCATAAATTTCCAATACAAGCAATGGTTACCCTTTCACGGTAACCCCAATCCTAATGTCACCCCACACGATGACGCGCTGATGCTGAAATTTAAACGGGATAAGCCAATTTACCAGAGCGAACCTATCTGGGTCCGTAAATTTTGAGGAATTTAATTTTAACACTTTAGGGCCACCACTATTCGCCATAAAGTCTCCAGTAACTGTAGCAACCAACCGAGCGTAAATTGAATTACGAACGCAGGGGAAAAAACGTCCAGATTTTACTGTATACCTTGAAATACAAAACTAACTACAGAAAATCGTTAGAAATGTCAAAATAAAGATTCTGCTTGAAGGGAGTTTCACCTGGAGAAGCCCCACGCGCCGCCATAGTCTCTGCGCGTGGGCTTTGCGCGCTGCTACACGCGCGACCACCCAGCACCTCCTCCAACTGCTTGTTCCATCAGTGGTCACCGTTTTTCCAAATTCCTTATGGTTTGTTCGGAAACTGATTTACATATGCGATTTTGGGGGAAAAAAATTTGACAGTTTTCTATTTCAATTTCTGGTCGATTTCTAGGTTGTTTCTGGTCGATTTTATGGCCTGAAATCCACCCCAAACCCGCTCCGATACCAAATGTTGAATATTGGGCTCCAATCTCACTAAATAACCGAGCTCAGTTAACTTCCAATCGACACCACAATCACAAACCAAGTCCTAAACTAAAACCCCCAAACCCGGTTGCTTCAAGGTGCCCGCAAAGGGCTGAGCGTGAATGTTATTGATAGCCCCAAAAACAGCTACAAAGGCTAAGTGAAGAAGAGAAGAAGACAGCACAAAGCTAAGGAAAGCACAAAAGCCAAAGGAACACTCTTTTGTCTCTCAAACACACGGCTGTCCACACATTCACACTAAAACCAACACAAATAGTAACGGGCAGCTTATATAAGCCAAAGGGGTGGGCTTTATGTTAAGGTAAGTAAGGCCCAAGTAGTAACAATAAATGGGCTATCAACCCTAAAGCCGTCCAAGGGTAGTGAGTTTGGCCATGAGTAACACTAACACAATTAGGTTACTTCAAATGGCCTGAAGAAGTTGTAGGAATAGTTTGTTCGATTGTGGTATCGACATTTCATTTCACTCATTAGCCGATGCCTATTAAATATAATCCAATAAACCGGTTTAACATCATCGTCCAGATTTATTGGGTATCAAAACCCAACACTAACCCAAGAAAAAAAGTTCAAAATTCTGACCATTGACAATTAATTTATGAAATTTCACCAAGGACTAAGATTATTTGATGATCACAGAGAGTTTATTAAGCTGACGATGAATGGCTACGAAAGAAATGAGTGCTGCTACTATCCATTCTTTCCAGGATGAAATGCCAAGCATGTCTTTAGATTTCACCAAATTTTCTTTGCACAAAAATTCATTACTTGTAATTCTATCCACCTTCATATTGAAATCATGAACGAAGATATGTGTTTTGAGATTATCTCCGGCCTTTTTGCTCCAGGCAAGTAAGTCGACGGTGAAAATCACAGCCATCCAACTAAGCACTTTAAGCCAGTACCCACATGGGCCATCCACCAATATGATATCCCAATCCACCTCATATAACTGGTTCAGAAGATCGTTCAATCCCAACTTGCATTCTGAAAACAAAAGATTTTGCAGTGGCTTGCGTTCATTCTACACTTGTTCTTTAACAAATGAAATTAGCTTTTTCACTTCGCTTATTTTTGTAGATTTCAATTTTTGGGTAATGAGAAAAATAAGAAGTAATATTGAGATGATGAATACACCACAATATTATATTTTCTTTTTTCTTTTTAGTTTTTATTGAATTGGAAGTATAATTGTAAATTTGTTGTGGTATATTTATTGAAAATATATTTTAATTGTGGTGTAGTAAGTAAGTTTTAGAGTTAATTGTTTCAATAATCACTCAACTTATATCATGATCACGAGTAAGTTTTAGAGTTAATTGTTTCAATAATCACTCAACTTATATCATGATCACGATTTACTCACTAAACTTCAAAGTGCTTCACAGCACTCACTGAACTATGTCCGTTGCACTCCAAGGTAGTGGAATTTTTTAAGCAATGGAATAAACGACTACACCGATTGCTTTTAGATTGCACTGTTCAATGCTGGCACTTTTTTTAATGTTGAGTTGGTTTGGTAGCAAAGTAATGAGTAAGTTAAATGTGAACTAGTCAGTTTACTCATCAAACTTCAAAATGCTTCCAAATGGTCACTCATTTTTGAAATGTTACACTTCATTCATCATCCGTCATATTTTGTTCCCTTCATTGCTAATGTTCGCACAAAAATTCCACGTGGCAAGTTACAAATGTTAAAAAAATTAAAAATAAACAAAATTATCAACTCACCAAAATCATCATGTGAAACGTGACTTTCATGACCCTACAAACTTCTTTAAAACCTAATAAAGCATCCTTAATGATTGTTTTTTAAAATATCACTTTTCTAATTCAAACGCTTACTGTGCAAAAAATAGGTTTCAATTTGAGGCTGATAACTTGCTCTGTTGAAAATTGATTTTTGAAAATACTTTGTTTATATTTCAACCTTTTGACTTCTAATTGCATCCAATTGATCATGTGTGATCTTCAATCATCGTTTTATATTTCGAATCAACTATTGAATGTTTGAACTTTGATTCCCGAACTTTAGGTTTCTTGCAATTTCACCCTTTTCTCGTTCAATGTCTCCAATTTCGTCAATTTCATCGATCTTTACCTTACAAATACAATATACATAGAATCAAGCCATAATTCATTAAAATATCTAACAGACACTCTAATTTAAAGGTTTAAATAAGTGTAAAAATGCACTCATCATTAGGGTTTCTTAGGGCTGAAATTGTGGACGTTTTATTGGATTTTAAATAAGTTTATGGGGGTGTAGAAATCGCGTTTCACATATGATATTTTTTGTGAGCTGATGGTTTGGTTAAATTGTAATTATTTTGATGATTGTAACTTACCCATGAAATTTTCGTATAATAAAATAGCAATGAAGTTAAAAAAATGACAGATGATGAATAGAGTGCAATATCTCAAAAATGAGTGACCATTGTGAAGCATTTTGAAGTTCGATGAGTTAACTGTGACCAAATGTAAGTTGGATGAGTAATGAAATAATGATTTCGTTGAGTTGTAATTTTTTTAACGACCGTAACTTGCCACATCAGTGAATAAGGGTGATGGATGGAATGCAAGAGAAACGAATTTTTTTAACGACCGTAACTTGCCACATCAGTGAATAAGGGTGACCGTTAGTCATGTCTGCGAATAAGGTAACAAATTTTTAAAGGTGATTGATGGAATGCATACGGACAAAGTTCAGTGAGTAATGTAAAACACTTTGAAGATCAGTGAGTTAACTGTGACCATGGTATAAGTTGGGTGATTATTGAAACAATTAACTCTAAGTTTTGTGTTGGTAATATAATTATCCTTGTATAAAATACTTAAGGGTATTATTATCTTTTAATCAACAAAATGTCATTGGGGTGAATGACAAATATTTTTGACTGATATGAAAAAGTGGCTGTTTGACGGACCAAGCCATTACTAAAAGTACCCCTGATTTGGATGCAAGCATGTTTGGACTTTGGCTAATCGCAAACGATGTTAAAATATGGATTAATTAAACAAAAATGCAACTATGGGAGTCCAATTTGAAAAATCAGGTAAATCATATGATTATTTTAAATAATTACGTAATTTGAAAAATCAGGCAAATCATATGATTATTTTAAATAATTACGTACTTTTGAATATGTTATTTTTGTTATTGACAATTTTGTCGTTGGTCATTAATCTAACATGATTTTCTTGGATTTTAAAAAAGTAGCATTTGGATTCATTTTCTAGGAAAATTTAAGTATTATGAGTTGTCGATTTTTATATCCTGCAATATCTTAAATTTCAAGAACATAAAGAGTTAAATCTGACAAAAAAATCATTTTTTATTTGTTTTATCTTCGAAACTCATTGAAAGGTCCGTGCCAGAGAAATCACAGAAAATGATCAAACCTTCAAACGAGTTTGATTCTCTCTTTAACTAGAGAAGCGAGGAGTTATGTTCCAAAAAATTCGACTCTTTCCCGATGTTATTTGGTTGAGGCTTCTCGGAACTGAATAACCGGTCTAAACTTTTTTGAACACAATTATTCACATAATATTTAACAATAAAGCTAAATGTACACATTTGGTTCACATTAAGTTCATCTAGCATGGTTCAATATTTAAACTCTAGACAAATATCACCATTTATAATCTATAATATTAAACACAGTTCATGAAAATCACACCTTTATTTACATAATGATGTGTAGAAGACAATGCCTGGAATAACAACTCACAACATGACTATAATATACACAGAACAACGAACTCTCGGTAAACATTCAGTCGACTATGCATGCATGTTTGGATAAAGTCATAAAACTTGACAACAACTAACACCGCGAACTACACCTTTTTTCTGCATCTTTCTTGTACCCTCTGTTGTGGAGATCATATCCTTGAAAGCGAACCTTTTCACCTTTTTGCAGGAATCCTCCAAGAGACGAGGCTATTCACATGAGGCAAATAGCAACCATTGAAGGGGGAACATCCCTTTTTCAACTCAACCTTACTCATAATTTGCAAAGAACAATCATAGGCATATAGATCATAATCTTTTTTCCTGAAAATTATTTCACCGTCAATTCTTGAACAGTAAAGAGGAACCATATTCTTCGTGCAATCCATTCTTATGGTATAGAGCTTTTCCCAAACTTCACAGCCCAAACCCCTCAAAATCCACACATCAATTTGATTCATGTCTTCATGATGAGTCACGAAACCAAGGAATCCACTCATTGCAATGATGCGATCATGAATTTCCCCACTCTTTGGGAGTGGTATCTTCTTGAACTTCTCATTGTCCACTAGTAATGACACTATGTACTCGTTATGATTAATAAGAGGAAGCCAATGTAGAGCTCCTATTGCAAAAACAGGTTCATACCCGAGCCAACCAAGAAGTCCAAAAGAAGGTCCATCCACAACTCTCCAAGATCTACTCCCAATGTTAATAATCTCACAACCAATGTACTGTGACTCATCCTGAAACAAGTGCACCACTTTATAATTGCTCGAACAATGGCAATACACTAACCCATATGATTCATGATGAGGAGAAGACTGAGTTCCCAAAGGAACTCTCAACAGTTCCCGAGTCACAGGATTCATGATAACTAAGCCCTCTTTCTTCATCCGGTTTTCGAGCAGGATTAAGCCATTGCAAGTTGCTCTGATTTTGCCTACGCAAGTCTCATTGTACTCCTTTATTGTGCACTTACCATCTTTAATTTCCATGAACTTAATGTAAAATAAAGATGATGGGTTTATGCATGGCCAATGACATATAGGCACAGACTGCATATGCAAAACCTTGGATTCAACAGAGAAAGTGTTTGGTTTGACAAGAGGGTCTAATGTTTTAAAATCACTGGACAACGGATGGCCCTTCATAACTGGAGCTAAAAAAATTAAGCCAGTGTCGGATCCTTGAAGATGGGCATCAATGAAAACGAGGCTATTAACAATCTCATACCATGCCTTACAAACAAACCTCAACTTCTGTAGAGATTCAAGCGGAAGTAGAATAAGAATTTTAGAGATGCAGTCTTTCGGAAGATAAGGTACAATAAAGAGACTTTCTTGCTGCTTTTTTCTCTCATGTTCCAGCTCCCTTTGTATTCTTTCTTCCACCAACTTAAGCAAGCTGGCACCTTTTCCATACACTGATTTGGTATTCATGATCTCTGTATCGGATCAAAGAAACTTAGAAATTTAAAACTTTGATGCACACGCTTATGAAGATAACTTTGAAAGGGTAAAGATGTTTAAAGAGAAAAATTTAGGCTAATAGTTTATGTTCATGGATCTTTTGCATGACTAGAACAACCAAAGGAATCATCAAGTAGTATGTTAAAGAAGCAAATAACAATACTCTTTATATTATCAGCTAGAACTTTGTATTGTGAACTAGTATCGTCTTATAATGTTGGATTATGCATCATGGATTGCCTAAGTGGCCTAACTCGACCCATAACCTATTGAAATGAGTTGGAGGAAGTGGTTTGATTTCGATTTTAAAGCATCAACCTATCTCAACCCTATCCTCTAATTTATAGAGGAAGAAAAATATGACTGAGAAAAAGTGATTTTACATAAAAGATGCCCAAAAATTGAAAAGGGCCTAAAACATCTTTTAGCTTCGAAATCTCACAAAACTAGGCATTTGTATTGTGTGCAATAAACCACTCCTATGGTGATTGAGTTCTTGCACATTGGATCTGAAGTGAAAAAGTACACGTGATTTAACTACAACAAGGTCTTGGGAATTCCTCATTTAAACTACGGTTTTCTTAAACCGAAACAAATTATGTGCATGCTACAAACTATTCCATATAGAAACTACATAAACATAATGAATTTCTTTCTTCTTCATATACGATTATGAGATGATCATATCACACAAATCAATTTCGCAAAACTGCACAAATAAATTTCTCGAAAACTGCTTGGAGCCCATGTTTTGGCTACAGCCACATAAACACTAATATATACCAATTTGGGTAATCCAGACAACAAGATCAAATATTTTTGTGCAGCTCAATTTCAATTATTAATATAGCTCTGAAAAAATTCAACGTGGACTTTAGGTCAATTTTTCATTTCTCTTATATTCAATTTTCTCTCAAGAAAATTGGTCAAAAGTTTCTACTCCACTCCATAATTTTCATTCACTTTTCCCAACAAAAAGGGAAAAAAAACCATTAAAATCCCCATAAAAAAACAGCACATGGGCACACAAAGTTTTCAATAAATGTAAACAGAAGAGCACAACGGAGGAAAAGAATTCAAGAAGTAAGGCGTGAATTAGTAGACAACAAAACCACAAAAGTATAAGAAACAAAGAACGTGAATTACCTCTCTACAGCTGATTTGATCCCAGTGTGTTGAAGCTTTTTATGCGAGCATACGCATCGCGATTTCCAAAGCATCCATTGTTGCCTTGTTGGAGCAGAACAGATTCATCTCAGCATTTGATTATTCTTATGCGAGTGTTTTGTGGTTTTGTGTAAACGGCAATTGATATTTTAACTCGGTGTGGGTCCACTTCATCGGAAGCCATTATCGATTGACTGACTTGGCATTTTCCAGTGGAAAAGAAAAAAATAAGAAAAAAATGTTATTAGTCACCAAACATTGGTAGTTGTTTGAAATTGAATTAATTTAGATGTACGTTCCTAAATCACGTTGTTATTATTTATTAACATTGTGCGAATTGTTAAAATCTGATCAATGTATCAAAAATTGTTAACTCACAAAAACATCATCTATGATGTCAAAGTTAATGTATATGTAGCAAAATTGCAGTGTACTCTATTGCATAAAGCATGACAATTGGTTTTTCAATGGCAAGTGCCGGCCGTCGAGTGGCTGAACCAACCCCTAGGCGGATAAGTTAATGTATATGTAGCAAAATTGCAGTGTACTCTATTGCATAAAGCATGACAATTGGTTTTTCAATGGCAAGTGCGCACCTCCCCTCTCACTTCGTAAAGATTTCCACAGCAATACTCACGTGCTCCACTCCAAAAAAAAAAAATCCCAACCAAGATCAAAATTAGCAGTTTTAGCTTGTGTTTGACACCCACTTTGGATAAAGAATAAATTTTGCAATAGTGATTGATGAAAGAATGTGTAGTTAAAAAGTAAGAAGAATTTTGAGGTTTATGTGTAATATTATTTTATTGATAGAATGTGTGGTTGAAATGAAAAAAGAGAAGGAAAATAAGAATGAGAATAAGAAGAGAACGAGTGTCAAACGAGCGCTTAAATTAGTCACCAAAAATATGGAAGCTTGCAAAAAGAAAAAAAATAGTCATGAAAAATAATTTCTTAAAATTTATTAGTTACTGAAATTTTTATGGGCTTCACAAATGGTTCCCGGTTGAAATATTAACATAAAAATCGACATGTTTTTAATAGGGGAAATTACATAGTTCAGGTGTTTGAAGATTTGAATTCAAAAATCAGGGATCAAGTTTCATTATTCAAAAATCAAGTAATACATTAAAACCATAACCCTAATTTATCACTCTCAACTCTCTCTCTCTCTCTCTCGCCTCCTCTCCCTTCCCCTTGCCTCTCTCTGTAAATCTCCCCTCTACCCCCGTCGGCCAACACCTACCGTCGACCATCGCTCATCGTCGAAGACCACCACCCACATCAACAATTCACCGTCGAACTCATGGCGACAATCGAGGCAAAGCGAAGCAGCTCGATCTGAAATTTTCTCCTTCAAAACCACCGCTTGGAGCACCTATTAAGGTGGTGGATCTTTGCTGCCGTGACGCTGCTGTGCAACGCTTTCACAACAACATCGCGACGGGTGCTATGGGTGTGTGTAGTGGCGAAGTTGAGTTGTGGTCGTGGTGGTGTCGCGACGGGTGGGGGTGTGGTGGCGGTGACAGGTTTGGGGTCTTTTGTTGGGTGGTGGTTGTGGTGTGACATGGTTTTTTTTGTTGGGTGGTGTTGTAGGTGCAGTGGTGGCGACGGCATGATGCAGATGTGGTGTGTGGTGGGTTCGAATCTGGTTGGTGGTGGTGGTGATAGTGTGTGGTTGGATACGGTGGTGGTGGGTTTGTTGGTGGTGATGTCAGTAGCCGTGGTGGTGATGGTGACGGTTGGGTGATGGTGGTCTTTTCACCGACTTCACCATCACAGTCACAATACACTGGTTCATAAATTAACACGGGATTTTTAAACTGTTATACACTCTGAAAAATAATCCGTGACCAACAAATTTGAAAATATGTGACCAATGAAATTAACTGCGACCCATAATTTTTTGAATTTGTAACATCAAAATTATCAATGACTAATTAATTTGATAATATGTGACTAATAAATAAATTGTGACCTATAATTATGTATATGTGACCATTAATTGTATAATTGTGACCTAATTAATAAATATTTTTAATTAATTACCTAATACATGAGTTTTGAATTGTTAAACTATTTACCTGACTTTTGAATTGGTGTAAATCATACACCTGAAATATGAATTGTTCCCTTTTTAATATTGACGTGCAGACATGGATGAATGTATAAGGGCCCAGCCCAGCCCAGCCTAGTCCCAGCCCATTGAATTTTTTTTAATGTAGAAAAAAAAATCATGTGTAATTTTATTCCTTTTTACGTATTAGCCCGGTTTGTAATCTGGTCCTAAATCCGTTCCTGCATGTGGATAAATGAATGTTATTTTATTGCTATATAAATTATCGTGATGTTCATTTGACTCCTATTATTTTTGGAAACTCAACCTCCAAAATCAATTTTCCCAATCTACAAAGTAGGGTTCTCTAGATGTTAGTTGATATGCAAAATCTTGAAGATGCAGAGGAGTTTGTTATATCAAGATGTCTGGGACAAGATGCTTCGGAAGACTTCATGTATGCAAAATATTCCAAATCGAAAATTCTTAGATTGCACTAACTTCAGTGTAAAATTGAATTCCATTTTTCTGGGACATAGTTGAACTTGGGTTTCTTATTTCATTTCAAATATCCAATGAGACATAGAAAATTGAAACCATTTTATATCCAATGGCAAAAAAAACATAAACTGTATAAAATGGCAATAATAACAAAAGGGTAATTGGCGCAAAACGTCCCTACCTATGACAGGTTTTGTGGAAAACGTCCATACGTTTGATTTTTTGGTAATGGACGTCCCTACCTTTGCATTTTCTTGCGCAAAACGTCCTTCAGTCCAATTCCCTTTAGAATGCACCGTTAAATCCATTAAAAATTATTTTTATTTTCTAAATAAAAGGGTAAAACCGTCAGAACACTCCCTAACTTCCATCCCTCCTATCCCGCCTTTTTCTTCTTCAAATGTTATGCATAACTAAAAAGTGTAAGTAATATGAAAATTAATTTGGATGATGTTGTAAAAAATAAGGAAAATGCCGGAAACCACTGTATTTTTGGAAGCATGTTAATCGTGAGTGCCGTAAATCTAAAAAAAAAAAATTGAAATGGTATATGAGGATTGAATGTGGTCGATACAATTAAGATGATTATCCCCATTTTGTGCTTACAAAGGGTGTAAATAAAGGATAAAGTGAGAAAAACAATTAAAATGTGTTTATGTGAATGGAGGTTTGGAGTAAGAATGGAGAAGATGATGAACAGAAACGGGTATTCTTCCCAATTTAGCATGAAATTGTCTTTGCGAGAAACATCTCTACCTTTACACTGCCTTTGCGAGAAACATCCCTACCTTTACATTGTATTGGCGCAAAACATCCCTACCTTTTAAAAAATTGTGTAAAACGTCCCCGCCAGATACAGCCCACAAACCTGTTTATACGACCTGCAACTCACTGTCCCTGACACCCATTTCGAACACAACAAAACCAATAATCAACAACCAAGCTCAATATAAACTCAACAATCACAGTACTCAACAATCAAACTCAACAACCTAAACTCAGCAACAAAATAGCAAGGAGCATATACTATTACAGTCAATGAAGCAAAAACCAGTACTTTCTGTCAATGAACCTTAACCATATTCAATTCATCTGCACTGATTCATTGAACAAAAAACAAATTTTTTTTTACAAAAGCTAAAGCATTTGGCATTATCATATTAATTCCGGGCTGGTGGTGGTGCCCCTTTGCAGGTCCTACTATTGTGTCCTCGTTCACCACACTTCCTGCATGTCATTATCATCCATGCTCTTTCCTTGGAGTTGATGTGTCTGTAGTTGACGGACTTGAAGAAGTATTTCTAGGCTTCTTTGACTGACTTGATGCCATTTCATTTGGCTCTTTTCTTCTATTTTTTTTGTTTTTGCCTCCCGCCCTTTTTGTGTACACTGGTGGATCGAGAGGATTGAGACCTGGGTTAGGCCATGAGTCCGGGCCTGCGATGGGGGAGATGGATGGAGTATAAGTCATGAGGTATGCCTCCTTCTTGTAGATCTCATCTACATACTCCATTACATTAAGGCACCTTGATACTACCGAGGCAATGACATGGCAACACGGAATTCCAAACAGTTGCCAAGCACAACATGTGCATGTTCTTGCCCTTAAGTCCACAGCATTTAGTACGGTGCCTAAGTTGTGTCGAACTTGAAACCTTTCATTTCCAACATATTCAGCCCACTCCACCCTTGCGCATGCACTGTTTTTGTCAACAATTTTCTGAATTCTAGGGCCTATTGATGCTGTCCACCGATCAGAGGACTCTCTATGAGCAACAATCATCTTCATCAAATAAATGTGAATCTCCTCTAGCATTGTCAGAATGGGCTTCTCTCTTGCGCTGACAATTGTACTATTAAATGATTCGCACAAGTTGTTTAGAAGCATGTCCCATTTATTCCCCTATCTAAAATAGGATTTACTCCAATGAGATGCCGGTTTTGATTCAAGCCATTCGTACACTGCCTGGTCCAAGTCCAACATTCGCTGCATATGTTGAAGCCACTGTGACATAGTCGTCGATCTGGCTGCATCCCGCAGACAATTCTTCAAAGACAATCCCTTATGAGAAGCACTGAAATTGTTGTATAAATGTCAAACACACGTTCTATGCTCCGTATTCTCGAACAATGTCTCAATTGCATTAACTAACCCCTTTTGTTTATCAGAAATAAAAGTCCAGTGCTCACTAACATGCATGTGCAAATCTTCCTTCAACAGCCCCAGAAACCATCTCCAGTTATCCCCATTCTCAACCTCTACAACTGCATACGCCACTGGATACATACCATTATTAGCGTCCACCACCACTGCAGTCAACAACTGCCCACCGTGCACTGTCTTCAAAAAGCAACCATCGAACCCAATTAACCTTCTACAACCCCGAAGAAAACCGTCCTTCAAAGGTCCTAGGCAAATGTACAGTCATTTGAATTCACCTGCATACCCCTCAACCAAAGCAGTTGTACCGATGTTGTTCCTTTTCAACTCCTCGC